GAAGGAAGGAAGGAAGGAAGGAAGGAAGGAAGGAAGGAAGGAAGGTTATAATGAGAGTGAAGGAGGGTCTGAGGGAAGTCCTGCCTTAGCACTTGGCCACCACAGGTGCCCCTGACACAAGTGATGTCGAGCTGGCCACGCCCACTCTGCCATGCCCACCCCAAGGTCAAACACAAGTCTGATGCGGCCCTCAATGAAATCAAGTTTGACTCCGCTGCTCTAGAATTTGGGAGGGCAAATGTGAAGGAAGTAATCTGCCTCTGGCTACACAGGGTGAAGCATAAAGAAAGACAGGCAAATGAAAGTCTCTGTGGAAAACAAAGCAGGCGACAAGAGCTATTTTTAATACAGAATGCACATTCTAATGAATGCCAGTTTCAGATTCCATATTCCGCATTACAGGCAAACCGGCTGCAAACATTAGTTCTTGTGTATATAGTAGGTGGTTATGAAAATGACCTTGGTCTACGGACAGAACATTGTGCGTAGTTATTCAGAAATAAATGCCAAGAATCTCAATTTACTCCCCATTAAAAACAGGGCCTGGATTAGACTGCAGAAATCTTTGCATCAGGAGAGGGGGGGAAAATGAATGCAAGCCCGATTAGTCAACATTTGTACAATGGGGACTGCGTTCTGTTGATAAGTCTGGCCACATGACACTTTACGGTCTATTAACCAGCCTTCAGTTACTCCAACCAGTAAGATTATGTATTAACGCTCAAGTCATAAAATATCTTTCCAGCCAAGAAGGAAAAACAGATGCTTAAAGTGAAGACTGCAGTGACTTAGAAAGACACTATACAACAAGGGTCTTCAAACTTGGCAAATTTAAGACTCCCAGAATTCCTGAGCTAACATGACTGGAGGAGGAATTCTGGGAGTTGAAGTCCACAAGTCTTAAAACTGTCAAGTTTGAAGACCCCTGCTATACAACATAGAGTTATCTTGAAGTAAGATGGGCAGGCTATCAGTTTTATAAACAAACAAACATAGATGGATAATACATATGTATGTACAGGCACACACATATATACATATACACCTAAATTTTCAGCCATACTGGGGGATAATTCTGGAAAAATAATTAGATTTTCTTTTTTTCCAACCTTTATTATTTTTATAAATAAACTCAAGGTGACGAACATGTCTAATATTCTCCTCCTATCTTCCTCACACAAATAACACCATGAGGTAGACTGGGCTGAGAGAGAGTGACCCAAAGACACCGAGCTGGCTTATGAGCCTAGGGTGGAACTAGAACTCGCTATCTCCTGGTGATTGGTCCAAGTCACTCAGCTGGCTCTCAGGCCTGCTGGGACTAGAACTCATTGTCTCCTTATGATTGGCTCAAAATTACCTATTGGGCTTTCAAACCTACTGGGATTAGAACTCACAGTCTCTTAATAATTGGCCCAAGGTCACCCAGCTGGCTTTCAGGCCTAAGGCGGGACTAGAACATCCAGCCTCCTAAGTTTCTATCCTGCTACCCTAAAAACCAGACCAAACTTTCAGGACCTCACCCAGAACTAAACCTACCCCAAGGTACCCATACAGGGCCGAATTTATTTTTAAAAATAATATTAAAATGAAATTGCCTTTGAATTTTGGTAAGGTGATCCTGGAAGAAATTGCAAATACAGGATCGGGAGTGCTGAAAATAGCCCGCCAACCCAGCTCCATTGTATTACAATAGAGAACAAAACCCAAATTCTGAGAATATTCTGAAAATAGGAAAGAATGGAAGAGATGGCTTGCAAAAAAAAATAAGATATAGAGATAAGGGGCACGAGTGCATTTGGTTCCTTCTGAAGGACAATTCTGTCAGAATATTCATGAACTGGCAGAGACATGGTAACAAGGTCAGCCAGTGAATAGGCATGGCAACAGATCAGCCAATGGGAGCTGAATTGGAAACTGAAACTGGAAGGAGCTTGGGCGTGGCTCTGTATTAAGCTCTGAGCTCTAGCCTGCAACTCTGAATCAAAACCGAAATTGTTTTCTCCTGTTCTCTCCCTCTGCTTGTGTTTTGCCTGTAACTGCTATCACGTTGGAAGAATCTGCTGTTGGTATTGTAAATTTACTTCATGTGTTATTATGTATATAAAGAAGTTAACGACTCCTGCTGAATCAGTTATCTGTGTGTGCTTTCTGGATTTGATTTCTGCAATAAACTCTGATAAATTCCAGCAACCAGCATTCCCCCCCTCCCTCTAGTGTGTCTGGGATATTTGCAACTGTGATTCTCCAAATCGTAACTGGAATTGAATATCAGCAAGCCAGAGAATAAGCTCCAAAAGAGAAACTTCTCCTCCAACGGGCTCTTACTTTTCTAAGGGATCCGTCATTTTTGCTACATTCTTGTGGAAACGTAACGCTTGGATGTCCTGCGTCTCAATCTTCGGGGGTAAGAGTCCTTGAAGCCCCAGCATCTGCCGTTCTTTCAAGGTAAAAGCCATACCCTGAAGAGCGATAACAAGAGGAAAAGATAAAATTAGCCCCAATTCCCGGTTTTGGAAAGACCTTTGGCCAAACGATTTTAAGTGGGACCCTACCAGCTCTTCATCTGAAATATGATTACTTCCTTTGTCCTTAATCAAGACCAGAGGTAAGGAACCATAGATGCTTTATGACTTGACATGCATGGCTGGCTTGGGAATTCTGGGAGTTGAACTCCACAAATCATAAAAAACCCCATCATTCCCAACCCCTGATCCAGACCAACACCCTCTTCTTTGTTTTGTTCCTTTCATGTTATTTAATGTAGTTCATTTTCTTCCTATTCCACAGTTTAACTCAGGGGTCTTCAAACTTGGCAAGTTTAAGACTTGTGG